TACATTCTCAGTGTTGAAAAGATGGAAAGTCTATGTCTCAAATCTATGTTAAACGGAGCAAAGTGGAGTTCTTATAAAAATGTGCACAGTTACCAATCTGGTAACTGGTGAAGTGGCCATAGTCACCAAAAGAACAAGAACATCTACTTCGCTGACCTTAAATCCCTTGTCCATATGTATTTCCTTGTTCATTATTGCTACTTATGTATTTTCTACTTTGTCATTACTGTTATTGGTATTTCTACCACCTGTTGGTGCTATTATACGTATATTTGGTGAGGATGAGATAAATGCACGAAGGATGTTGTTGTGCCCTTGACTTGATATCTGGAGTACATTCCTCACACTATGAAAGTTATGCAGTTAATATCGTAGTTTAAAAGTTATCGCTCTAAGGAAAGGATTGGTCGAGATATTGGGAAATGTTAAATTGTGATCTCTTCTGGTACTCATTATTTCTTCGCATATTCGTTTCGTATACCTTTTTCCATTATATTATAGTATTGTTCTGTTGCCAATTTAATGTAAAGGTTATATCAATGAGTATGTTTTAACTAAAAAACCTCACCACTAGCTTATCGAGATCAGTCAAGATAATTATTGAATACATGGAGTCGGTTGTATTCATACTATACTTCTGCACTTTGCGTCAGATTTTGGAGCGGAGCTGCGGTGGAGGATGGGGGCTGACTCTGAAGATGTTCATGTCTTCCGGATGTAGCTACCACTTGTCCCTGGGTAGTTCTAGAATTGAATTATGTTTATGTATATTTCAAACAGAAGTTGTATTTATTTCAAACAGATGTTGCCAACTTAATGTAAAGGTTATATCAATGAGTATGTTTTAACTAAAAAACCTCATCACTAGCTTATCCAGGTCAGTCAAGATACTTATTGAGTACATGGAGTCGGTTGTATTCATACTATACTTCTGCACTTTGCGTCAGATTTTGGAGCAGAGTTGCGGTGGAGGATGGGGGTTGACTCTGAAGATGTTCATGTCTTCCGGATGTAGCTACCACTTGTCCCTGGGTAGTTCTAGAATTGAATTCTGTTTATGTATATTTCAAACAGAAGTTCTATTTATTTCATATCCATTTTTGCAATAATCCAGTCTTAGTAGCTCATGCCTTGTACTACTAGTCCTTGTATTATTGTTTGGGATCCAGATATATCAATTATCGATCACATTTATTTTATTAGAATTATTTTAACTGTTAATTGACTAACCTAATGGGTCGGGTTAGGTGCCATCATGACTTGTGAATTTTTGATCGTGACATTTGGACTACATTAGTACGTTGAGGTTGCATGTATTTATTCATTCTTTAGCTGGACATAATTACTTCGTTATTTCTGTGCTTTATATGTACCTTTGTCTTGCTTATGAATTACAAATGTTAGTAAAGTGAGCATCTTTTTTATTAAATCCTCGCCACTACTTTATTGGAGAATAGTCAGGATAATTTATTGAGTATTGTGTCAGTGTACTCATACTATACTTTTGCACCTTGTGGGCAAATATTAAAGTTGAACTGTTAGGGAGTTCGAGAGCGAGCATTGAAGATATATTTGCATTCCAGCTTTCAGATGTCATTTATTCATGGTAGTTTAGAATCTTATAATTCTATTTTGTGTTATTCAAATAGATGATGTATTTTTCTTCAGAATAGCATCATATTCTATTTTTAGTTGCGCATTACCTGTGACACTAGTTTTAGGATAGTTTGTATTAAATTTCATATTTTTTACTTTATTATTTGATAATGATCTTCAGTTGGGTTATACTTGTGTTGGTTGATTCGCTTAGAAAGTTGAGTTAGATGTTATCACGATTTGGTATGATTTGAATCGTGCAATACTATATACTTATTTATTTCGGAAGTATTTAGCATAATATAGGGAGATTAAATGCCTAGTTTTGAAATGCATGATGTGTGTAAGTAGAGAGGTATTTAAAATATTTTACTCTAATTTGAAAAGATATACTTCCTCTATTTCATTTGTATGTCTAGTCTAAGGCCTCATTTGTTTTTTCTAAGATTAAGTCGTCTGAATGTGAATACATATCTGAATCTCAAAATGTGGATTAAGATTAATACATCTGAATCAGAATACACATTTGAATATTAAGATATTTTTTTTAAGATCTGTATACTAAATGATTAAGACTGTTTGTTTTTTAAACATCTGAGTATATAGAATTTATCTTTATTTAAAAATTAATTAACATAAATTCAAGTAAAATACTAATTAATCTAATATTCTATCAATAATATATATATATATATATATATATATATATACACACACACACACACACACATACATATACATATATATACACACACACACACACACACACATATATATATATATATACACATATATACATATATACATATACATATATATACATATATATACACACACACATATNTAGATGGTGGGTGATGCTAACGAAGGTGCTTGTGAGTGCCGACTAGAGGCGGTGGTTGGTGATGATTTTGATTGATGATGGTGGTTCTGGGTAGTAGCTAGCGGTGATTGGTAGCAATAGCAATTATAGTTGATGATAGCGGTGACGAGTGGTGATAGTTAATAATGGTGGAGGCGGTGGTGATTGTGATTGAGAAAGGTGATGGTGGGTGGTGGTAGTTTATAGTGGTGGGCGGTGCGGGCATGGTTATTGATGGTGATGGGGTGGCTGGTGATGGTAGGTGAGGTGGGTGAGTTTGTCGTTATAGTTGAGGATGATGATGGTGGGAGTAGTGGTAGTGGTGGAAGCTATGGTTGAGGACAGTGATGGTGGTTGGTGGTAGCAGTTAGTAATAAATGTGGATGATTAGATCTTAGAGCCCGTTTGGATTAACTGATTGTAAATAGCTGATAAGTTTGAAGTGTTGAAAAGTATTTTTAAGCACTGAAGCTGATTTTTTAAATAAGCATTTACGTGTTGGATAGACGTGCTGAAACTGATAATAAGTAGTTGATGTGTTTGGTAAAAAGTGTTGATAAGTTATTCTTTTATGAAAATGACTAAAATATCCTTAAAAACTTTACAAAAGATTATAAATTAAAAAGTTTCTCTGCAAAGAAAAAGATGAACAATTAATATAGAATGAAAAAAAAGTCAAATAATTTATTTTGGGAAAAATATTTTGTGAATTAGAAAATATTATTAAAGATAAACTAGTAAAAGCCTTGGTCAAATTGAAAGTGCTTATAAGCTAAAAAGCCATAAGTTGGGGTAACCAACTTATGACTTATGGCTGATTTTAGCTTATAAGTACTTTGGGTATTTACCAAACACGCAAATAAGCCAAAAAATGCTTATAAGCCAGTTTGACCAGCTTATAAAACTTAGCCAAACACCCTTTTAATCATACAGACCTATTCAGACCCATTAAGTGGTTGTGAAATAAAAAAAATACAATTAACGATTAAGATTCAAACTTAAAAATAAAGGCACTTAATGTCTGAAATTTGAATGATTAAGATTCAGACCTCCATTAAGCACAAACAGATGAGCCTAAGTGAATCAAAGTTAAGATATATAAGGAATATTTTTTGATTTTGTAATTTTAAATTAAAGGTGCGAATAATAGGCCAAAAAGATCCTCTGAATCTTTTAGTCTTAATCATGTATTGCCTTTAGGGGTAAAATAAAAATGCTACGGTAAATTTTAAAAAATAGAAAGATAATATTTTCTCTTGAATAAAATAAAAGAAAGTAAGACACATAAATTAAAAGTAATAATAAAAGTTGTGAAACTAAATAATTTAAATTGTGAATAAATATTTACTCCTTTGTGTGTGTTGGGACGAGGGGAGACTTTGTACCACACGAATGTTCGAGAATTTGACATCAAGAGATGCTTTGATTCGAACTATCACTTTCCTAGTTCCTTCTTAATTTTCATTGAAAGGGGTGCAAATAAACTATCCAAGTTCCCTTTTCTTGTCGTTACGAATTTGCTTCTCCCAATTAAATGTAGCACTGTCATTGTTGTACCTATCTACGAACGTAAATATATTATTTTCGTCAGTTTCAATTTACGTGAACTTATTTTTTTTGGTCTGTTCTAAAAATAATGATCCCTTTTTAAATTTGATAACAATTTAATTTAAACTTATAATTCTATCCTTATGAGAAACTTTTACAGCCACACAAATATTCTGTGCCCCTTTTTAATTTATTTAGTACCACAAATTGCAAAAGTCTTATTTTTTCTTAAGCTTCATACCCGGTCAAACATGTTCAGGTAAAGGAGAAAATATCATTTATAGTTTATGTTTTTTATTCCCCATGCACCTACCAACTGTCTTATGTATTCAATTACATAACATATTCAATTCATTCTCCACATAAAACATTTCGAAAATTTTATCAGCTCACAGAGTTAATGTCTCAACACTTAAATTTTGAATTACAAATTAAAGTAACAAGCAATATTTGTGAAAAAACAAGCTTCAGACAAAAATACAAATAAATACAATTATGCAGGACATAGAGTTGTACAAATAAATCTTTCTTGCACATAAACTTGTACTATTATTTTATCATATTTAAGTAGTATATATATTCTTAATTTAAGTTGTGACCCTTAATATTAAATTACTTGATATTAGTAGTATAAATACGGAAGGGAAATAAGTAGGTTCCGTTTTTTAAGTTTTTAACTGACTTATAAATAATTTAATTATATGAATATTTTTATAGGAACAATAAAGTTTATGGGTTTTTTATTACATAGCGTCTTAAGCGTCAATGCTCGATGTTAATTAACTTCATAATGGTAACAGTGACCGAATTAAAGAATTCGTTGGAAGAGGTGGACCCCGGATTCAAGGCTGAAGCCTTATCCCTTCTATTAGCCGCAAAGCTCCATAGTTGTCATTTCAATTGAAGTTCTCATATGAATAAATGCAAAACAGTTACCACATGAGTATGTTGAAAAAATTAATAAATAAATAAAAAAGATACCACATGAATATGCTGAACGGACAAAACACTCTTAACGGCAATGAAATATTTGAACTGCAAATGCAAAAATTCTGAATTACTTGTACAAATTTACCAATTGATTTCATTTGACAAGTTAAAACCCAAAGCTACAAGCACACAAATTAATCAGCTGAATCTAAAATGATTTTCCTAACTTCAACAAAAATTAGAAGCCATGGTCATCCCCAGAACACCTTCAAGAATCTATTACTGCCTTTGAGAACAGCTAACGTTAATTAAAACGAAACTCCACATCTCTACAACTGGATCCGCCGCCACCACCATTGTATGGTTCCTGCAATAAATATAACAAAGACCAATTTACTACAATTAAAACTTATTCTTAGCTTTTACACATTACTTCGAAACTACGTACATAGTCAAAATTTAATATTAAAATTTAAGTAATTTTTCACTACACACATATATTAGATCAGTGTTGGAAATAAAGAGATTTATTAACATGGGTTGTGGTGGAATGGATCGGATCCCTCCACCTTTTCGAGCGTTGGGTATGAAAAAAATCCGAGTAAATCCCCCGTAAATATCTTACAAGGCGCGTACCTGGATATAATCGGGCCGGTGGTAAACCCAACCAAAAAAAGGAAATATTGAGATTCAATTGAACGATTAGTGAATAAGCATAAGAAAGCTCTCTTATTTTTAAATGAAATAAACATGAAATAGAAATGAAAACAGACGATTAATCATGTAGTCGACCCAACTAGTTTAGAACCAAAAAAACAATTAACTAAATCGTACCTGTGAATTCTTGTTGCCATGAAACAGCTCCTCAGATCCCACGACGTTGGACCTCTTTTCTACAGATCCTTCGTTATTCTTATCAACTTTCCTGGACCCAATGTGAGATTTTTTAAGACCTAAAAATCCCTTCCACCTAGTACAACTTTTGGGTGGCCTCAACGAAAAAGCATCATCTTCATCCCCATTGAGAAGTTCATCTCTCAGAGTTGTTTTCTGAGAATGGGCATTTGAGCAACTTTCTTTGAAGGGCAATAATCTACCCTTAAAGAAAAGCTCGTCAGCACTCATCATTGAGTAATTACTGACGTTGAATTCAAAGTCAGAGGAAACTGGAGCATCCCTATAAGTCCTGCTGCTTTCATTCTTCATCATTTGGTGAAGTTGAGAAGAATGAGAAATAGTAGTCGAATCGACAAAGTCATTAGAGAAGGAGATTCTAGGACTCATAGGAGTCCCGAAACCTTTGTGGTCGGCTGAGTTTTGGTTGTACATGTCTAAGCATGCCATGGAAAGTGCTCTCACACCAACATAAGGTAGTATTGCTGTGTGGATTTGAAACAAGATAAGGAGGTTTTTAGCTGTTATATACTGACCGTGTAAAACTCATTTTCCACTTACCAACATATTTACAAGTACTTCAATAACAAGTTAAATTAATACTCTCGGTCTATCTACAATAAGTGACCAATTTACTTTTTTTATTTTAGTCCAAAATAAGTGTCTATTTATATAATCAAGAAAATATTCAATTTGTTTTTCCTAAAGTACCCTTATGTACGTATCTCTAAAAGGTTTTTTACTCCTTACATTAAATTATGCTACTACATTTAATTGACGTCAGTTTAGTCATACTAACTATTTTTATCTAGAATTTAGTATTTCCTTAATGGGTGTATCCGAAATTTTTTATTTTATGTCTCATACAACTTACACTAGCAACTTACACTAGTTGTATAAGACATTTTTTTGTTTCACAGTTTAGTGGATCCAGATTTTTGTGGACCCAGAAGTGTAAGATTGGGGTCATAAATTTGTTAGACAAAAAGGAGCCTCATACAACTAATGTAATTTGTGTGAGACACAATAAAACTTTTTGGTGTGCCCAAACCACATTGATCACTTATTGTGAATCGGAGTGAGTAACATGGAAGACAAATTAACATGCCATAATATGTTAAAATATACTAATATGTAAATATACAATACACCATCAGCAAAGGCAAATCTATGATTAAACTTGATGAATTTAACCTTTAAGTTTTTTTTGTAATGACATGTTGCACTGTTAAAATTATACGTTTAAAATTTAATACATTTAATTTTAATTTTTGTAATTTGTCCATATTTATATATGTATTCTATAAAAAAAATAGTTGAATATGATGAAAATAGACTTTCTCCCTCCTTAGCAACACTCTTATGACTCGTTTAGCACGAGGGATAAGGAATAATTAATCTCGAAATTAAATTTAAGAAGAGTTTATATCATGTTTGGTTGGGAGAGAATTGCGGTATAATTAATCCATAGATTATCTATCCCGGGATTGTAGTACTTTTTTATCTCCATAAAAAGGTGAAATAACTAATCCCGAAATAATAATCCTAAAATAACTTCTTTTCAACCAAACAACCCCTTAATTATAGGATATTTCTGACTCCTCATATAAATTCCTAAGGGGGGCCCTACCACTGTTACAAACAACTGTTCATGTTTGTTTTTATGTTGTCAGGAGGAGCGGGGAGGGTTTTACTGGAGGTTCTCATTCTGGGGAGGGGAGAAGGAAGGGG